TATTCCCATAGAAGTTAGCATTTTTATGCACAAGTGATGGAAGGATGTTATTGCTTTCATTTGTTTCAGAGTGAGACTCCCCAATATTCCATTTTAAGTGGATCTACTACAAAAATTAAGAAGTCCAGGTACTCTTAAAACACCTTAGGTTCTTTTCTTAGCTCTATCACTAAAGTAATTTGTTTGCGTGGGATTAGACTTCTCCGGTGAAGCTATATAGAGAATCTAACATAAGGATCCATAGTTGATCAATCTGCATTTGGCCATATACACTTCCGAACATAATATTAACTAAGATTTCGTTATCTACGTACATTCGATTAAAACATTACGAGCTACTATTGCTTGTATCATCAAAGCTTCGCAGTGGACATAAACTACCTTATATTCATCAATGTTCATAAATTCAATTGAAGAAGATCTAGTTTTATAATTACCTCAAGCACAATAGTTCTCCAATGTTGGCTTCTTGGATGCTCGCTATAGTTCCTCTACGAGCTTATTGTCATTCCTCCTACATGGGGTCCGACAATGATAGTATTGATCATCCTAAATAGTGGATAATGATATGAGATAATCAAAGGTGCATTAACTGACCTCGCATTTCTTGGTCCTAGTCCTAGACCACGTCCTTCCCTTAGGTTGTTTCAAGGAGACCTTTCTACTAGCTTCGTTGATGGCTTGGGGACACTCTTTTGTTTCATGGTCTCTGCTACTGTGGATTCTATAAAATTTCAGTTTGCAAACCTCGAGGGGTGGAACATAGGTTTCGATTGCCAATTATGATGGACATGTAACATAGTGTTCTCATTCCCTTTGTGTTCATCGAAGCGCATACATGGTTTTAATAGCTCTGTATCATGACTTTCCACTTTTTCTTTTTCCTTTATGCTTCTCCATTTGTCCATGTTCTATATTCTTCTTATTTTCTATCATTCATTACATAAGAATTTTGGCTGAATAAGATTGAAGAGATGGTGATATGTGGTAGGGTTTATATTCGAGCATCCCTCCAAAGGGAATTTTCCATCGAAAGTTCATTCCGTAGAGCATTCATTACTTTTTCACCATAAATAGTTTTACAAGAAATAGTCTCGGCATTAAAGCGAGCAAAGTAGCTTTTCAATGTTTTCCCCTCCTCCTCCATCATTTCATTGAGCCTAGTAGTAGGAGATTTGCCAACCTAGCTTCCTATTGAATGCGTCGAAAGGCTTGTTTAAATTGTGGTCAGCTCTTGATTGACCCTATTGAAAGCTTAATGTACCATTTCTTTGTTGAACCACTCAATGTTAGATGGACTATTCGCCATTTCAACAATGGATGCTCCTTGTTTGGCTTCATCTTTTTAATGTCATCTTGCCCATAATACTTTTTCCATTTTTGGTTAAATAAAATTACTAGGAATAAGAATCTCCATGATCTCTCTCGAGAATAGTAATCTCTCATCCTCATCATCCAGCTCATATGATCTCGTGGACCTATCTTTTTATTCCTCAAATGAAGGCAGAATATGAAGCTTTAGGTAAACTTTCTGCCTTCCTTCCATTAGAGGGAAAATCATGACGATGTCTCATTATGTAAGAGTTCACTTTTTCTCCCAACCTATCAAAAATGCTCCAAGATTTCATAGTCCGGCACTTCCGCACGCCTTTATGGGGCATGATCATTATTTCTAGATTCTAAATTGAAATCCAACTTGGTATTTGGAGGATTTATTGTCATTGTTTGTAGGAATGCATTCTTAGCTGTCAATGCCCTTATACTTACATCCATCTTCTGTATGATACGAGTAGTGGATATTTTTCTACATTGGTGATAGAGTTTTTCATTACTGAACCAGATGTTGGCAACTTTTCAAAGGGTTCCACTATTGCTTTTTTGTATTGATATTGCTATATTCATGGTTCGCTTTAAGGATTTTCATTATAGCATAAAAGTTTCAACCTTAATGGGATTTATCTCAACTTAACTCATTTTCTAAGAGTTTTTTATGGCTCTTTTGCCAAAAAGATTAAAATCATGGTTATATTTGCTATAGATTTCCAACAGACAGTGCTAATTTGTTGACCTCAAAATCAAGACTAACAAATTCTCTTCCTAAACTGGAATTTGCTGAAAATAAGAGTTTGAGAGGGAATTGGATATTTGAAAAGAGTGTGTATCCGATTTTTCCTATATTTTATATATGCTTGAATCCATGACTATTTACAAATATTTGATGATATCAAGAGGGGTAACTAAGTCCTTTTCCTTTAGTGACACGTGGCAATCATTTATTAGTGAGTTTTTAATTGAATTTGTTATCTTTTCATGTTTTATTCACTATGTAACATGTTCTTACTCATTGACCGTGATGTTACTTTCAAAAGGTTTAAGGGTTGTTCTCTTCGTGTTTCAGTTTTTCATTTTGAGTTTTGAAATCATTTTGAGTTTTGTGTTTTGAGTGTCCATTTTGAAATTGTTGAAAATGTGTTCTTTTTGTCATTTTGAAAATTTAATTTCAAAAACCCAAAATTGGAAAATGTGTTCACTTTCTTCTTTCTTCCCGTCTCTCTCTCTCTCTCTCTCTCTCTCTCTCTCTCTCTCTCTCTTCTTCTTCTTCTTCTTCTTCTTCTTCTTCTTCTTCTTCTTCTTCTCGTCTCTTTCTTCACTCTCTCTTCTTCCCCTCCTCACGACATCTCGCAAGGCATCCGGTGTCAAAGATCGACCTTTTCTACTGTTAGGTGTGGCGGCGTTGGTTGGATCTAGTGGCGGTGGTGTGTGATGGTTTTGGATCCATGGGTAGTTGGTTGTAGCTGTGGCTGTACCGGTGGTGTGGCGATCGTGTTGGTCCGTGGGTGGTTGGTTGTGGCTGTGGCTGTGGTGTGGCGGTTACTGTGGTGGTTGTTTTTCTTCTGCTGTTGTAGTTGTGGCGGTGGTTGTGGTAGTGCGACGATGGTGGCGGTGGTGCGGACGGTGATGGTGGTGGTTTTTGTTGGCAGCATAAATGAAAACACCTAAAACGCGTTTTGAAAATTTTGGCTTGGTTTTAACAGAAAACACCCAAAACGACATTTTTTACGTTTTCGGTTTGCTTTGTAAATTTTAGACTCGTTTTCAGAAATTCGTTTTTGAAAACAGATAAGTAAACGTGTTTTCACTATTCTGAAAAATTGAAAACAAAAAATGGGATGAAAAGGACAAAGAAAACAATCCCTTAGCATTCTTATTTAGGCGTGTTTCCTTAATGGTTTTCCTAAAGTGGAATAACACATGAAAACAAATAGGAGTGTTTTTGCTCGTTCAACTATTTGTGCTCACACATTTCATGTGCTCATCATTCATGATCAAGATCATACTCGTGATTTCGTATTATAAATATTAGATGACAGTGGTATAAGTTCGCACATGATTTGAATTTTGACTAAGAAATACTAGCAGATTGTGGAATAGGCTCGGACTTGTGAGTTCAACATTGAGTAATAAAGTAATAGTCAAAATTTCCACAATTAACTTTGACTTCTACATAATTTCTAATATTAAATTATATCGTGTGAATATTCCCACCCCTCTTTGTAAAGTTAGTCATGTTTAACTCATTAAAACGAAACTCTTTATTTCTCATACTTATTTTCAATCACACGTTTATATAATAAAATAGTATGCACGTCAATCCAAATTTTTTCCTACTTTTTAATCACACATTTTTAAAAAAATTAATATTCAAAATATTATTTCCGTCCAATCACTCTTTATAATAGCTATAAAATAAGGGCTTAATTGATAACAACTATAATCATGCTTTTCCGAATCCCAAAAATTCACCCCGCCCTCCCAAAAAATATTCTGTACCAAATCAAAATTCAAAATATCTCAATTTTAAGGCTTCATTTCTAACGTGGGCGAAATTATTTAAAACGTAATTGTCAAAAGCATCATAGCAAGTGAAAATAATTGTGACCCTATATTTAGCTCTATACGATAATTCAAAATTTATAGTTAAAGTAACTTATGCAAAATATGGCAGATGAAAACTTCTTTATTGATCCTTAATCTATTATCCCAATAGCATTTTAATATCCAACATTTGAAAAGAGTAAATTGATCTTCATCTTTTCATTATAATTGAACAATCAGTACTCAACAACCAGAACATTGTTTAGTTGTTGATTAACTCTTGCACATCTAACTTCATAAAGTTACATAAGCCATTGTTTGGTGGTCTTAAAATTTTAAAAAAATAATTTTTAATATTATTTTTTTGAAAAATGTGTGATTAAAAAAATAAGGAAATATTTTGAATTTACGTGTAGAATATTTTATTATGTGAACGTGTACTTGAAAATTATTATGGAAAATAAATTAAAGTAAAGTAAAGAAAATCAAATTGGGGCTAAGTTAAGGAGAATTAGTTTTTCAACAAAATTGAAAATTAACTTGGGGATGTAAATTGCAATTATTCCGTTAAAGAACGAATATTGAGCTTGGGATCAAGAAATAATTAGTTAATTAAATGGACAGCGACATAAAGTAGCAGGGTTTCCGGTTCAGAGGAGAGAAATCTACGTGGCTCCAGTCATAGCCGTTAATCTGCATGCAGCAGATGTCCAACACCTTTGGATCTCTTCCCCTCAATTTGATGATGATGTAGAGAGAGAGAGAGAGAGTGGGTGAGTCTCTGTGTGTGTGAGTGTGTATGTGTGTAAATAGATCGAAAGGTTCTTTCTGTTCTGAGGGTAAGACAGACTTATAAATTGGTGATCGCAGAGAGAAAGCTGAATGCTTTTAGAAGCCATGGTAACGGCGGCGTGGCAGAGCTGTAATTCTGCGTCGACACAGCCACAGAATTGATTTATATACATACATACCTATGCCCAGAATTCAAGAAATCAAAACAGTACCCAGAGAAATTAAGGCGTGCCCTTATTATTCTTGGGGTCATTTTCATGTCTGTTTGGGGTTTCTGTTATGGATTGTCAGCCCCAATTGAGGTCTAGAAAAGGATTAGAGTTGGTGTCAACATGGCTGGCTTTTTCTCACTAGGCGGAGGCTGCGGCGGCGGAGCCAATAGAAGCAATCAAGAACAAGAAAGCAGTAGCCACCACAACAATCCACCCTCAGATATCAACCCAGAAAGCTGGTTTTTGTTCAGAAATGAAGACATACCATATAAAAGCTTGCAACTTTGGCAGAACCACCCAAATCAGCAGGAAAATCAACATTTCCTCCAACGCCAGCCCAACCAGAACCATCCGCTTCAAGATCTCTATGCATCAGCAGGAGGATTAGGCGTTGGAGTTGGGCCGAGTAGAACCGCCTTCGAAATCTCGAATGATTCTTCTAGGTCAGGATTTCTTATGATGGGGAGCAGCGGCGGAGGTGGTGCTGGTGGAATTAGCTGCCAGGATTGTGGGAATCAAGCTAAGAAAGATTGTTCTTATATGAGATGTAGAACTTGCTGCAAGAGCCGAGGGTTTCAGTGCCAAACTCATGTTAAGAGCACTTGGGTTCCTGCTGCCAAAAGAAGAGAGAGACAACAACAGCTTGCTTCTTTGCAAGAACAACAGCAGCAGCAGCAACCACAAAGAGACACTGCAAAAAGGCAAAGAGAGAATCCAAATGCTTCTTCCTCTCTTGTTTGCACTAGAATAATCGCTAATGCATCAGGTAAACTCAACTCGACTAGAAACAAATTTAATCGTTTAAAGTTGAAATCGATCGATCTCCATAGTTAAAACTAAAACCCATTATCAGCTTTTCCCTTTTCTTTTCAGAACACTATTTTTAGGTATTCTTGACAGGGAAGACCCTATTCCCCCTGCCCCACTTTACCTCAATGATATTTTGTTACTTTTTTTTTTTTTGTATTAACAGTGTTTTTTAAACAATTTTTAATCATATGACCTTACTTGTACATGATGTTTGTAGGGTTAGAACTTGGGAATTTCCCATCGGAAGTGAATTCGGAGACGGTTTTTCGCTGCGTTAGAGTAAGCGCCATTGATGATGCTGAAGATCAGTATGCATATCAGTCGGCAGTGAACATTGGTGGACATGTATTTAAGGGTATTCTATACGATCAAGGCCTTGAAAGCCAGTACATCGCCGGAGACACCTCATCTGGTGGTGGAAGTGTCAGTGCAGGAGTTCAACAACTTAATTTAATAACTGGAACGGCCAATTCTGCCGTCACAGCCTCCGCCGCTGGTGGTGGTGGTTCTTCTCCTTCACTTGACCCTTCTTTATACCCAGCTCCGCTCAACACTTTTATGGCTGGTACGCAATTCTTCCCACCCCCAAGACCCTGAACAACCTTAAATTTCTGTTCGAAAAACAACATTTTACTATGATGAGTTAGAACTTAAGAAAAATAGTGCTTAAATATAGGAGAAAGAGGGGAGAAATTAATATTTCATTATGCTTGATTTGTACTTCATATTTCGTTGCACAACGTTGAACTATTCTTCTTCCCTTTGAAATGCATAAAGTTTGATTCCACCATAAAAATGGGCGTGCTGTTTTTATGGCAACTTTTAAAATTGTTCGTTGAATTTCTCTAGATGCTTTTCTAGCTTGTGTTGAAATTCGAGCTGCTCTTTATCTTTTTTTCCTCCTAGTTCACACGTAATTGCCTGTTTATATTGGTGATCAAAGAGGGTGCTTCCTTTTTGGGACAATCTGAAATATCATTTCCATGGCTATCCAGACATGCATGAGCATTTCAAAATGTCACATCCTCTCTCTCTATATATATAACCCCGGATGTCATGACATTATTCTTGATACAATGTCAAGACGGTATTTTGTCATTGGATTGTTTTAAATACAATGTCTAGACTGATGCACAACACTAATCACCTTGCCATCAGTCTCAGGATTGATTATGCACAGAGTCCAATGCCTACTGCAGATGTATATAGAATTGCTCAGATTGTAGCATCCTTTCCTTTTCCAATGATGTGCTGAACTACAGAATAATCCTTTCTGCCAAACATGCTGGCTGTATAAGAATTTCAATGAATAAAACAGAATAGTAACTTAATTTTGATATTATGGCCTCCCTTTTAAGTCTGTAAAATGAAAATCTTCCTGCTAGATTGCTGAAAGCCATACTGGGTTTTATTACCTGGTGAAATGTTACATAAACATAAGTGATTAGTAAGTAAAACCGAAGTTCATATTGTGGAGGAGGGCAAAGAGTCAAAACCAAGCTAAAAAGTTTGTCTCTATTTTTCTATTTCTTTTGATAATGAAGTTTAATTGGGAAGTGGTTGCAGTACCAAAATGATGGGATATCAAGAAAAATATCTCTCTCTTGATTGCATTCATACCTAATTTAATTTATTCAGGAAAATTTCCCTCTAGTTTTACATAATTGATGAGTAAATATATGTAGCAAGTTCAAAGATAAAGTGATGCAACCTAGCAAGGAAATATAATCATAATATTGAAATAATCATTATGAACTTCTTGCTTATTAATATCCCTAAAAACATAACTCAAAATAGAAAAATCTTTAATCAACAGCATGCTCAGAAATCAAATGAATAAAAATGGAGATTTCAATATTGTCATCATTAGCTACATTATATAATAATGACATAATATCCTTTTAAAGTTGTATTCTCCTTAACTCACACCTTACCAAAAAGAGTTGCAATCTGATGTTCAATTTTTGCTGTCCACCCAATAAATTATTGATACATCATTTTTAAATTAACATGTCATCTCAAATTTACATTCGTTAACTTCACCAGATTAATGACATGTCAATAATTAATTGGATGGACCGCAAATTGGACAACAGATCTTAACTCTATCAAAAATTAGTCTTCTTTCATTCCTTGAACGTCACTTTCCGGTCACTCTCTCTTCCAGTAAAAGATCTCATAAATGTTGTTCGTGTATCATCCATGTTTCACCATACGCATTAATTTTTAAAAAATGAGCTTTACTGGGGATTTGTATTGTTTCCAGCAACGATGGAGGAAATCAATAAATAGGCAAACTATCTTTGGCAAATTATATTAACAGTAGCAAGATTATGAAATTTGTATGGATGTTTCCTAATTTTATTTTTGGACCTTTTATAGTTCGAGATATCTTTTTCTATTTGAGGAAAGAGGTCTTATCTAATATCTTTTAAATAATGTTTTTACAGCATATAGTGGGACAAAACGTGTGGCATTTCTTTAAGCTTGAACCTTAATAATACGAGGTTGTCTAGCTATTTGTATCTTTGTCTAGTTTTGATTTACTTATACCTTGATTGATGCATCATTTAGAATATTTTTACGTTTCTGCGTTTTCTTTCACGCGTGTTATTTTTGAGTGTATATCCTAGTTCTTCTAAGCACTTATGGTAAATTGAATGGTCTAGATTCTATCTAATTTGATTGTGCCATTGATTTGTTTAAATCCAAAAGTTGAGAGAAACCAAGAGGATTTGAAGCGAGTAGGACTGTATAGTTTTTGATAAGCTCTCGTTTAACTAAAATGAATTTTTTTTTCTTCACCAGTGGATGGAATTTTATCATTCATACGATTTTAGAGCGCATGCACTTTCAGTAAAATTTCGATTTTATCCTAATTTATCTTATAAAAATAGAGAGCTCTCATTAGAGTATTAAATTATCATCATAAAATAGAGGTTAAAGAAAATAGGGTGATTGCTTTCTCTTGTAAATTTCTTTTCATCATAATGAATTACTATATCGGTGGAAGATGACGTTATTTCACGCTGAGGTGAACCTTTATTAATCTTGTGCATTTTCGTATTTATTTTCTTTTTACTAATTTATTGCTTTTAGTGGTAGAATTAGGGTTTTTAATTCTCAATAATTACATCCATTATTTCTATAATATGGTCTAAGAAAATCTGTCCTTTCTTACTGGCTTAACCCTTTATGACAAGATTGACTTTACACTAGATAAGGATTTTAACTTCTTTTTTTCTCCTTAAAATTGTGGAGAGCGTTAAAGCTTGTAATTCTGTTATTATTTAAATGTTCTTATTTCCTAATTGCACACTTCTTCAAGCCACTGGAAAAGGCAAGTAGTTAGTCATGCACCTTTAGCAATTCTGTCCAAGAATTATTTAAGAAGCAATTTACTATTGCTGTATTTTCCATTCTTAAGTAGAAATGCTGTTGTAATTGATTTTTAGGGAGTTCGAATTCCTAGGATATTTTAATACTAAGAACACTAAAATTAAGTAGGTAACAATGAACACTTAAAAGCGAGCAGTATCTCATGTATTCTCGTCATACTTTTTAGCATCATGCAACATGCATAAAAATGTTTTAGCTTCTAATGGTCATTCTCATAATGATTTTCCTCGTCAAAATTAATCATTGTCGGTCCATATTCATATCCACACTGACAATTCTAATCCCTCGAACTTGTCACGACGCTTGTTTAATTATTAGTACATGATAATAGTAAGAGGATATCTAAGAGAATATTTAAATATAAGATATTTTCTATTTTAAAAAGTTAATCCTTCAGATTATACTTTAAGATACTTTTTAAATTAACATTTTAGTTTATAGAGTGGGTTTAGAGAGTCAATCACATTCTTTATAATTAAATACATTCAAAATATTTCAATTTTAATATAGAAAAATAATATAATAATTTTGAGGGAAGCTGATGAAAATAAAAGATAGGAAAAAATAATAAATATTTTTTGGAGAGTAGTAAAATCATGTGTAAAATATAAAGATGTTGGAGTATTTCAAATTTCTTATTCTTTAAATTTGTAAATAATCTTTAAATTATAGAATATGAAAATGGAGAGGTTTTAAAGTTACTCTAAAAAATATATATATATATATCAAATGATGACTCATCATTAAACAAATATGAAATAGTAACGTTGTGCATGAATGTCAGTCTCCCTATTTTTGGAAACATGTAGCCGAAAGAAGAGCAAAATTTTCCCATTCTCAATGCTGAAACCGTACAACTACTTTACTTTGGTAGAAATATTTATTTTTTAATAATAAATGAAAGAGTGCTGTCATATTTTGATGACAACAACTTCAACTTTTCTCGTATTTTCAAGATTTCCTCGAGCTACAAAAAGGTCCCTTCATAAATCTTCTTCTGCATGATCTATATTTTGATTTTTCAATATTCCTTCCACTTTTCTTTACTTTCTGCTTCTTGTCGTCTGCTACCCTGTACCCCTGTCAATCAAATTTTTAATCGAAATATGTACTAAAAGGGCAAGTATTGTACCCGCTAGCCTACGTTTAACCAAGTTTGAGGTCTAAATAAATGCGCCGCACAAACAAGTTAATTGAAAGTAATAAAAATGATGAAGCAAATTCAAGCACCATTAAAAGGGACTGACTGTATTAGGGTTTACTACGGTTATAGGGAGGGCAGTTGATATAGAGGATCGTGGTATAATAATTTCAATTTGCTTTTTTATGGTGGTTGTAGGCATGTTAATATGGTTAGTCTCTCTAGCGAGTACATTTAAGAAATAGGTTCTTATTTTAATTTGCTACCTAGCTTGTTTTTCTGGAAAATTTAGGCACCGTTTGGTAACCATTATTCTAGAAAAAAATGTATTCTTTGTGTCAAATCACACCTTTTTTGTGGTTGAAAATGAAGGAAAAGTTATTGATGTGATGGAAAATATTATTTTATTGATGAATGTGTGGTTGAAAATTAGTAGAAGAATNTATTTTAATTTGCTACCTAGCTTGTTTTTCTGGAAAATTTAATGTTCAAGTAGAAATAAAAAAATCGAAAATTAAGCGGTAAAATTCCACATCCTTGGTAGAAGAAAATGTAAAATTTTAAATCTAGTTAGTATATAGCTTGCTAGAGGAAGAGGTTTGAAAATAGATATTGAAATCGGCTACTGTACATATTTGGGATGTTCTACAACAGTTTCAAATGGGAGGTATGAACTTTAAAGTTTGATTCTATGGATTATTACACTCTCTCTCTCTCTCTCTCTCTCTCTCTCTCTCTCTCTCTCTCTCTCAAAGAAATTTGATTCTATGTTAAAAACGTATATATAGATTGACAGATAGTGATTACAATTAGCATAGAAGTAGTTGGGTTCGATTGCTTAAAAGAACTTTATGCAACTGATAAGGATTTTGCTGATATATGGATTCGATGCAGTAATAGGGAATTTATACCTGATTACCTACTTCGGGAATGATTCTTATTTAAAGGAACGCAATTATGCATTTTTCGTTCTTCTTTGTGTGAACACTTGATTCGAGAATTGCATGCAGACGGATTAGGAGGCCATGTTGGTCGGGACAAGACAATCAGCTTGGTTGAAGAAAGATTTTATTGGCCCCAGTTAAAAAGAGACATTGGTCGTTTTGTTCAGCGTTGTCCAATATGTCAGAAAGCTAAGGGACAAGCTCAAAATACTAGACTCTATACCCCATTGCCTGTTCCAGAAACAGCTAAGAGACAAGCTCAAAATACTGAACTTTATACCCCATTGCCTGCTCTAGAAACAATATGGCAATATCTTACTATGAATTTTGTTCTCGGCCTTCCACGAACTCAACGAGGAGTTGATTCTATTTTGGTTGTAATTGATCAATTTTCGAAAATGGCTCACTTCCTTTCTTGTAAGAAAACTATAGATATTTCTTACGTGGCTAATTTAATTTTCTGCGAGGTCGTTAGCCTACACAAAATTTTCATATAAAAGTGAGAAGGAAGATGAATAAAATGTGGGGAAAATTTCGAGATATTATCATCTAAAAAGAAATTATTCTATTGTTTTTCATTTTGAATTTCTCGAATCCTTTTTAAACAAACAATTTTGTTATCTTGTTAGAAAGTTTTGCCCACTAACTTAACATAATGTCACTTATTCTATCATTAAATTATTTAGAAAATAATCAATTTTTACATCCAATCACATTCCGTAAAAATTGCATCTATCAAGTA